TGACATCGCCTGCCAGACATCAAATCCTAGAGGAGTCTAAACTTGGTCTGTTTTCACCATGGCTTTGTATAGTTACCATGCAATTTGTTCAAAGTGCAGATATCAGGTTCTCTACTGTATTTATACAGGAATTAAAAGTGATGTTATCAAGATTTAAAAACAAAAGCCATTTGGGTTGGCTTCATAACTGAATCTTTTAATTCCTGCATATGTTGTTCACCCTGATGAATACATAAAGTGACGCAGGATTACAGATGGAAGTGAGTAATAAAACCATAATTTATTGAGGCACTCACATAATCCCTAACGTATTTTTTGAGATTAAATCATTCTGCTTGCATTATCTATTTTTGATAGATATGCTTTCAATAGAATAACTGCTCTTGATAGTTAAAATCAAAGCTAAAATAATTGATTAAATGCAATAATGTGAGAGGTTTATGTAATTACATTAATACAGATTATGACAGATAAGTGAATCACAAGAGGATATAATAAGGAATAATGTTACAGTTATGAAGCAAAATTATAGGATTTTTTAACTAATATACATATATTATATGATTGACAGGTTAAAAATGCTACAGGTCTGAAATGTTACCTTGTCTTAGCCTGAAAGACCATACATCCATATTGTTTACATATATATATAGCCCACAAAATATAGTCAATTCACTTTACAGTATATTCTGTGAAGCACTTTGAGATGTATCAACAACGTGATAAGGAGATATATCATATGCAAGTACTATTATTGATCTCAAGGGTCAAAATGGCACAGAAAGTGGTAAATTTAGACTTCATTTGGAAGTTTTATTTTGATGAACTACAAAATTCTGTCTTCCAATTTAAGACCAAAGTTAAGCAATTTTCACAATTTTACACCATCCTAAGTTTAACGAAAGTACATCTCAATGTGTTTCAGAATGCCAAGTGGGAGCCCAAGCTTGGGGTATAAATATGTCGTTGAAAAGAAAGTTCTTTAAAATGGGCTTTAAAGGTGGGGCAGGGAGGGGTGAAGCTGGAATCAAGAGATAAGATGGAGATATAGAGTCCGGTTGCATCCATGTATATGTGGAAATGGACTCCACACTTATAGATGACGTCACTAAGGGGAAGCATATGGAATTGAATCCTGGGAGAGGCAAGAGTGAAGCTGGGAGGCATCAACTTGTTCCAACATCTTGAAGCGAACGGATAGGCTGGAGATGAGTCAGGAGCTGAAAACCATGGGGGTGCAAGTAAGGGTTTCTTGAATTTGATGGAAGCTTTGCAAGGGAGGGGGCAGTTTGTGCCAGAGGTTGATGATGTAACTGGTAGAGGAAGGGGAGGGGGAGCTAGATGATGCAGAAAGTGTGATATGCGATAAAATAGATACTATTATGTATGCTTTTGACTCAGGCAAAGCAAATAGGAATAATAGTCATCCTTGAACAGATTCCTGGCTGTAATCAGAAGAGACAGTCTCTTTTAAAACAAAATTGAAATAAAAGCATCCTGTGATATGGATGAGAACTTTCACTGTGTCATGGGTTATCTGCTGTAACTTATAATATCCACCATTTCATTTCTACTTATTTACAATGCATTGTTCTGACCAGAGGTAACCTGCAGGCTGGTGACTGGATTCCTCATTGCGAGCTGAGCATGATTAGCAGGAACACAGAGAAATGTGACAAGTGAGAATATTTGAAAGGATAGCTTTTCCAGTGGCTCAATGGGTCATTAGCCTTTAGAGTGCTGTCCAGGCCAGAGAAACTCTGATCTCTGTGGGCGGACATCATCCGTAAAATTTTCAGCTCATTCCCTGAAAATGATTTTACTTCAAAAATATTAATAGTGACTGCACTGCTTGAGGGGAGGTGAGCGGGGTCTCCTGGGAGTTGCACTGGCTCCAAAGTGACTTGTTTGGCAATGAAATGTCGGAATCGAGTCAACCTGCTGTGGCGGTCTTGGTATTCCAGTTCCTGAGTCACATTACTCCAGACCACTGCTGATGACACCCCAGCCAGACTGGCTCATCAGCAGGACGTGCAGGGGCAGACCAGTCACTTGTGGCAGTGATTTTTCCCACTTAGTTCCTGTTAATCCTGCAAGCTAAAGCCTGAATGGATAGGGTTGAATCCAAAGTCGAGGGAATCCACTCAGCTGCCTCTGTGCTTCCATCTGCTACCCCCTCCCCATCACCCACTCCCACCCTGGCCCCTACCCATCCCTCCCTCCACACCTTCAAATCTGTCTCTCCCTCCTCTCTCATCACCACCATAGCCCACATGAAACAGACCACCTGCTCCCTCGACCCCATCCCTAACCCTCTCCTTACCTCCCAGCTCCACTTCCTTTCCCCTCTGCTCACTGACATCAAAAACCTCTCCCTGTCCCCTGGTATTGTTCCCACCCCATTAAAAAACACTGTTATCACTCCTGTTCTTAAAAAACCCTCCCTGGACCCATCTCTACTCCCAAACTACTGCCCATCTCCAACCTCCCGTTCCTCTCCAAGGTCCTGGAATGAGTTGTTACTTCTCAGTTTCGCTCCTTCCTCTCCCGCCACTCCCTTCATGAACCCTTACCATCAGGTTTCCAATGGCACCCACAGCACAGAAACAGCCTTGGTCAAAGTGACAAATTATATTCTGTTCATCTGTGACAAGGGCTCCCTCTGCCTCCTCATCCTCTCTGCTGCTTTCAACACCGTAGACCACTCTATCCTTATCAACCACCTCTCCTCTCACCTCAACCTTCATGGCTCTGGCCTTGACTGGTTCAGATCGTATCTCTCACACCCCTTGCACTTCATTTCCACAAATGGCTTCTAGCCCCCGCAACATCTCGTGTGGAGTTCCTCAGGGCTCTGTCCATGGTCGCCTCCTCCTCAATATCCATATGCTCCCTCTTGGTGACATCATCTGCAGACATAGGGTCAACTTCCACATGTATGTGGATGACACCCAACTCTACCTCTCTGCCTCCACCCTTGACTCCAGGACCACTGCTGTCCTGACAGAGTGTCTGTCAGACATCAAGTCCTGGATGAGAGCTAACTTTCTACAGTTGAACATCAATAAGACCGAGGCTCTCCTGATTGGTTCCCATCAGCGCCTCCTCACCCCAGGCGCTGACAGCATTACCATCCACGGATACACACTCCACCTCACTAAGCCAGTCCAGAACCTTGGGGTCTTGTTTGACCCTCAACTATCCTTTCTACCGCACATCTGCGCCATGACATGATCTTGCTTCCCCCACCTCCACAACATTGTCCAGCTCCGCCACTGTCTCACACCGCAGGCCGCCAGAACCCTCATACAAGCTTACATTACATCGAGCCTCGACTATGCAGACTCACTGCTTGTCAGCCTCCCCAACTCCTCCCTCAATAGGCAGCAGATCATCCAGAACTCTGCAGCTCGCCTTCTCTCCCGTACTAGACTCCATGATCCTATCACCCCATCCTCGCCCAACTCCACTGGCTTCCACAGAGGATACAGTTCCAAGGTCCTCACCTTCAAAGCCCTCCACGGTCTTGCTCGCCCCTACCTCCGTGACCTCCTAAACCCCTAATATCCTGCTAGCTCCCTCCGCTAAGTGGGTTCCGGTCTGCTTCACGTCTCCCGCCTCGTTCGCCCCACTTTTGGTGTGTGGGCCTTCTGCCACTCTGCCCCCACCCCCTGGAACTCCATCCCACAGTCCATCTGACTCGCTCCCTGCGTTGCCACTTTCAAGACCCATCTCAAGACCTCCTCTTCGACCTTGCTTTCAATCTCTCTGCTTCCCACCCTGCCCTCCACCCTCCCCGATCCCCAGCTCGGGTCCATAACTCTGTCTGTCCAGCGCCATAGGACATCCTCCCAACGTGGAAGGCGTTATACAAATGTAATTGTTTTGTTGTAGGTTGGTTCTAGCTGGACACGCAGCAGGAAAGCTTGCTAGACAGTCTATAATATTAATTCTAACCCACGAAAATAAATACAAACAACAATAAGAAATTACATTTGTATAGCACCATTTATGTGGGTAAAATGTCCCAAGACGCTGGACAGTCAGGGATTTGGACCCAAGCAGGGGTTTGGGTTCAGAAAAAATGGAGGTCAGAGAGGCTAGGGGAAGGGTGACCGAAGGCATGGTCGAAGAGGAAGGTCTTGAAGGAGGCAAGGGAGGGTGCAAGATGAAGGGTCTGTGGGATGGAGTTCTAGAGGGTGGGGGCAGAGAAGCTGAAGACCGATGGTGGGGTGGGTCAGGTGGGGGACATGGGGCAGGCCAGAGCCTGCTGAGCAGAGGGACAGGTTAATATGGCGTTAGCAGGTCACATAAGTCAGGAGGAGCAAGGCCGTGGAGGGCCTTGAAGGCAAGGACGAAGATTTTTAATGCTATCCTCTGGGGGATGAAGAGCCAGGCCAGGGTGGGGTTGACAGGGTCACAGAGCCTGGTGCAGGAGAGGACACGAGCTGCAGAGTTCTGGATGATCTGCAGCTTGTGGAGGAAAGAGTTGGCAAGGTCGACAATCAGGGAGTTAGCAGTCGACCCTGGATGTAATGGATCTGTGAATAAGGGTTTTGGCATGAGGGGCAAGGTAGTGACAAAACCGGACAATGCTACTGAGGTGGGGGAAGGCAGATCGGGTCATGGCATGGATGTGGAGAGTATAATGTACCAACAAGGTTGGGCATTCAGTCCATCAAGTCTTCTCCTCGACTTTATTATATATCATGGTAGATCTTTTTATCCTATTTCTGTACCTTATCATGTATGCATGTATGTACCCTTCTGTCTCTAAGCATCAATTCTGACCCACAACATTCTGGGACAGTGCTTTTCAACCATGTCTTCTAATTTCAGTTCTAACCTTTAACCTTTACTATCACCCCTAGGCTTGAATCCATCTCCCTGGTGATTGAAATGAAGAAGCATTTTAAAGTCTCACGTATGTTAAGTCTCACCAAGACTCACCATCGATTCATCCAGTTTATTGGGAAATATGGAAAATCTGCACGAAGGAATAACAAGTACACAAATTTATCTTTATTAATTTCTTGCAAGCATTTTCTTCCTACAATCCAAAAAAAGCCACCATCAAGCTGTTGGCACATTCATGTACAAAAACAGATTAATTATACAGCCTGCTACAAAGCATTCTTTGTGAAAATACAAAGACTAGTACCAGAAAGCCAAGAGCATCAAGTTATTACTGAGTACGACATCATATATGAATCAAAAGACATGGATTAAATCCACACAACCTAACATCACACAAAAAATCAAAACACTACATTAGAGTTGCAGCATAATACTGGTAGCATAAGAACCATAATACTGCACACAACGGTTGATACAGTAAGACAGTCTAGTGTGTAAAAAAAACTTGCTGTCAACTCTGGGAAAAACTATCTTCATATCTAATGTATAACCATGCCACAAATAACAACTACAGTCAAAGTTCTTATCTAATACAGAAAACGCTTAAAAATTACTAATGTTGCATGACTATTACGGTATAAAGCAGAATTTCAATTCTTTTAACTTCATTAGAAATGCACTTACACCAAGAAACATCTCACAATAGTCCACAATGGTCCAAGAAGTGGACAAAACTAGGATTTTACTTCCAAAAACACTGATGAAGATCTTGTTCAGGCTATAGGGTTTAGGGACACACCATACTGCGAACATACAGCAGTATCAATAGGCAAGACAGAGGAAATTCAACACACCCATTTTGGTCCAGTATTAATGGATTGTTCTTGATGATTTTACATGACACCTTTTACTGGAAGATTTATCGAAACTCTCTCTCTCTAAATATTGAATCAACTTTTGTCATTTACAGCCAAATCATGAAGCTCACAATGAAGTTTGTTTTTGTGTGTGTAATGTCAGAGACTATGTAGTTTGAGACACGTGTTTGACTATTTTCCACTTGGCAAAGAACCCAGTTATTATTTGATTGAACTGTTCACGGTTAAGGATTTGTGCTGGAATGATTAAAAGTTAAAGCATTTTTTCCCTTGTTGCAAAGGGATGGAAATAAAATTCTCCAAATATGTGAAAGTTTAAATACAAGAGTCTAAAAATCTGAGTAAGTTGAATTGTGAGTTTATTTCCTGTGCCAGTAAGCTCCTGCGATACGCACCATTATTTGCAGCTATTGTGAAGCAGAAAGCTTATTTGCTGTGTGAATACTTGTCATTCAGTGCGAAACGTATTGAGATCGATAGTATCACAAAACATTCTCCTACAATTATAAAAATTCAAGGTATGGAGTTCGTTCTTTTTTTTCTTAACAAAAAAAGGATGTTCTCAATCATCAAAACCAGGAATTAACTTGATCGGTCAGGCATGGTCCCAAGGACCTCCTTGCACTTCTGAACATCTGTTCAAAACATGTTCAAAACGGTTAATTAATGAGTGAAATAGTGCTGTTCATGATGCACAATCCCTTTACCATTTCAGTTTTTGTAAATCGTATCAGTAAAAATGACTTGGAAGAAAGAGTGCTATTTTCNAAAAAAAATTACAAATATAAAAGTGTTTAAAATTCATAGGAAAAGGTTTACAAAGGTGATAGAAAAAAAACTGTGTGAAATTGCTGAAGTGGAGGGGAGGGAAAGGGGTACAACTTTACTAATGACGAGGCTCCCACCTTTTTTCCGTTTGTTTAGATGAAGTTTTAAGTTGAGCGAGAACTTACTGAACTGGTAACCAGGGTCATAAGTCAGTTGTTAGCTTAGTCAAACACGAAGCAGTAACTGGTGTTAGTGAGGAATGGGGGACTTATGTATATGCATTTAACCGCTCTTTTGAGCGAGTGGAGTGGATGTCATGCAGCTCCTGCTCCTCCTTTGATTTGATATCTTCGTACTTTTGCATTCTGCATGCATCTTTCACATAAGCCCAGTTGGCAGACAGCACCATTAGGTAGTGAACCTGCAAAGACAAAATACAGGGTGGGGGGTATTAGTAAAAAGCAAGCTTAGCAGCAGACACAGGTATTTAATATTGCAGAGGATCCATACAAGACAGGGTTTGGAGAGGGGGATTACTACTCAAAATAATACTTGTCTTGTGGCATGTGGGTGCTGCAATGTGTAATGTTGCATGATAGAAAATCATGGTTTATGCCTGTGGCTCTCTTTGCCACCTGCCGTAACTTCCCCATTACTGGAAGGCACAATGTGAAGGCATGGAAAAATCAGCAGCAAGATCTATGCTACCCACAGGCCAATCAGGAGATCTTTACTGACAGAGAACTTGTACAAGTTTCCTGGACATTGCTCAACCCAGGAAAAGTGGTGCAAGATGGAAAAAGAAACAAAACAATGCAAATTATTGTTAGATGAATACAGGGGTGGCGGTGGGATGGTTTACAAATGCATTAGCAATGTAATAGCAGCAAGGAAGCTGAGATGTTAGAAACAGACCAAGATGTACAATAGTGAATAGATACAAGGATTTCACCAGTGTTGTTAATCACCCATTTTAGTGCAAGTATAAATTGAAATTACAGTGTGCATGTAATGGAACATTCTAAAATTTTTCTTTGTGGGCTTTTGTGAGAAATAACAGTAAAGAATGAACTGATCTTTCCAGTGTCTTATATGGACATTTACACAGTACATAAATTATTTGGTACTGGGACCAAAGGTCTACATTTCATCATGATTCCAAACTGGGGGAAGATATAAATAACCAGTGATACAAAGACGGAATCTGATTAGATCAGGTAGTTGGGCTGTTGAAAAAAATGCATCGATGAGTTTGGAGAAAGGTACTATATAGAGGGAGAAAGAGACAAAACAGAGGTAATGTAATAGAAACTAATCACTACCAAGGAAGCACAAGGCATTGCTGTGTCAATGTTTGTTCCCTTTAGGAGTGAGCAGATATTGACCACAATGGTTGCTTTGGGGCCTGTACATCCTTGGTGAATGCAATGTATTTTCTATAATGGGATTCCCAAAATAGTACAAAACCATTCATAATTTGAAAACTTCCACTAGATTTACGTCTTCTTAAACCTTATCTGCTCTAACAAAAAACAGTGCCATTTCCCTCAATTCTTCCATATAACTACTGTAGAACCTCTCATCCCTGGTATAATTCTGGAGTGCAACAACCTGCACTCTTTGTTCAACTGCAAAGGGGTCAATCCCAGGTAGTGTGGATACTTGACTCTCTCTACAATATTGTGTAAACCACATGCTTCTCTGTTGATGTGATTTCCTTTCTATAATGGATTCCCAAAAACAGAATACAAACTTCATCTGCACCAAAACATTTTTAAAAACATTTACATTATCTCCTTATGCTTGCGTGCAATGTTCCTCTATATGGTCTTGTCTACTTTAACTTCAACTTTCGAAGACTTAGGCTCAACTATCTTTTCGTCCGTAATCTCTTTCTGATGGTAATTGCTTGCAGTCTGAATAAACATTTCCAGTGTTTGTCCTAGGTTTACCCTTCCCAACAACAACTTGCATTTATATAGCGCCCCTCACGCAGGGTAGTGTCCAAGAGCGCTTGACAGTGGCGGAGCACAACGCCGAGCCAGGGGGAGGTGACCATAAGCATGGTCGAACAGGAAGATGTTCAGGCGCGACCTGAAGATGGAGAAAGCAGGGGGAAGATGGGGGCATAAAGGAAGTGTTTTGGGGGCACAGTGGCTGCAAGTGCAGCCACTGATGGTGGAACAGAGGGTACAAGGAACAAGCAGAAGCATGGAGCCAGTTGATTGGAGGCAGTGGGTAATGGGTTGGGGGTAAGCAGGTCGCAGAGGTAAGAAGATACCACGGCATGAAGGGATTTGAAAATAAGGTGTGAAGGTCTTGAAATCGATCCATTTGGTAATAGCAAGCCAGTGGAGCCTGGCTGGAACTGGTGTCATTCCCAACCCTGAACCATCAGTCCCTCTTTGTTTACTTTATCTTTCCAGTTTGCATAGTAGAATGCTGGTTATTTACATGACAATTAACTCCATGTCCATTATCCACATCAGGCTCCAAAGTAGAAGTGGATGAGGGCTGTGATACCAGCAAAGAAAGAAAGTTGCATATGCTAACACAATTAAGGATACAATCTAGCTGCTTTGAAAGGTGTTCTTGGTAACCACTGTGCAACTTTGTACATGCACAGAACAGACTATCCCCCACCCCTCAATAGTTTAAAGGCAAGCGAAGTTAAGACTTGCAGACTACTTTTATAAGCAGAAAGAAATTAAGTCAAAGAGACTGAGAGAGATAAAGAGTGAGTGTCTCAGAAACAAAAACATGTCAGAAAGAGAGGGAAAAGCAGAATGTGTGGCAGACTGAGAAGAAAGAGTGAAAGAGTGAAGAGAACAATATTGTATTACAACAACAACAACAACAAGATTCCATTTATAGAGCGCCTTTCACGTCGGGAGAATGTCCCAAGGCGCTGTACAGTTGGGTCAGGGCCCGAGTAGGGGGGAAATGGTCAGGGTGAGGGGAGGGAAGGGAGGGAGCGAGGAGGGGGGAAATGGTCAGGGTGAGGGGAGGGAAGGGAGGGAGCGAGGAGGGGGAAGATAGTCGAGAGGGGAGCTGAAGGCACGGTCAAAGAGAAAGGTTTTGAGACCGGCCTTGAAGGAGGAAAGGGAGGAAGCGGCGAAGGCACTGGGGGATAGAGTTCCAGAGCCTTGGGGCTGAGAGGCTGAAGGCCCGACCACCGATAGTAGGGCAGTTGGGGCGGGGGATGTGGAGCAGACCGGAGCCAGAGGAACGGAGGGTACGGACAGGTAGGTAGGGGGATAGTAGGTCGGAGAGGTAGGAGGGAGCAAGGCCGTGAATGGCCTTGTAGGTGAGGATGAGGATCTTGAATTCGATCCTCTGGGGGATGGGGAGCCAGTGGAGGCGAGCGAGGGTGGGAGTGATGTGGTCCCGAAGCCTGGTGCGGGACAGTACACGAGCTGCAGAGTTCTGAATGACCTGCAGCTTGTGGAGGGAGGTGCGGGAAGGCCGGCGAGGAGAGAGTTCCCATAGTCCAGCCTTGAGGTGACAAAGGCGTGGACCAGAGTTTCAGCAGCGTGAGGGGTGAGGTAGTGCCGTAGTCTGGCGACATTCCGGAGGTGATGGAAGGCGGTGCCAGTTGTGGCGCGGATATGAGGGAGAAAGGACAGCTCAGGGTCGAACAGAACCCCGAGGTTCCTGACTGGCTTTGAGAGGTGGAGAGTGCAGCCTTGGATGCTGATGCTGTCAGCGCCTGAGGTGCGGAGGCGCTGACGTGAGCCAATCAGGAGGGCCTCAGTTTTGCGCACGTTGAGCTGAAGAAAGTTGTCTCTCGTCCAGGACTCGATGTCGGACAGGCAGCTGTCAGGACATCGGTGGTCGTGGAGTTGAGGGTAGAGGAGGAAAGGTAGAGTTGGGTGTCATCCGCATACATGTGGAAGTTAACCCCATGTCTGCGGATGATGTCACCAAGGGGGAGCATATAGAGGGTGAAGAGGAGGGGACCGAGGACAGAGCCCTGAGGGACACCGCACGAGACAGTGCGGGGGTGGAGGAAAAGCCATTCGTGGAAACAAAGTGAAGACGGTGGGAGAGGTACGACCTAAACCACTCAAGGACAGTGCCTTGAAGGTTGAGGTGGGAGGACAAGCGGTGGAGTAGGATAGCGTGGTCGACCGTATCGAATGCTGCCGATAGGTCGAGGAGGACGAGGAGGCAGAGGGAGCCCTGGTCACAGATGGTCAGGATGTCATTGGTGACCTTGACCAGGGCAGTTTCTGTGCTATGGGCAGCACGGAAACCCGACTGAAGGGGTTCGAATAATGAATGGGTGGAGAGGAAAGAGCGCAGCTGGGAGGCGACAACTCTTTCCAGGACCTTGGACAGGAAGGGGAGGTTGGAGATGGGCCGGTAGCTTGATAGCTGCGACGCATCAAGGGAGGGTTTTTTCAAGGTGGGAGTGATGGTGGCAGTTTTTAAGGGAATGGGAACAGAGCCAGAGGAGAGGGACAGGTTGACGATGTCTGTGATATGTGGGGCAAGGAGGTGGAGCTGGGAGATAAGGAGTGGAGTGGGGATGGGGTCAAGGGAGCAGGTGGTGGGTTTCAGGGATAGGATGAGTTTGGTGACAGAGGGTGGGGAAACGGGTACGAACGTGTGTAGGGGAGGATGGGTAGGAGTCGGAGTGTGGGAGGGAGGGGGTGGGGGTTGGGTGGATGTTGGAGGGGAAGTGACCGCGGAGCGAATTCCCTTGATTTTGGATTCAAGGAAATCCAGCATCTCCTCGCAGTGAAGGTTGGAGGAGATGACCTGCGCGGGGTGGCGGGGGGACGGAGGAGTCGGGTTGTGGTAGAAAACAGTAGCCTGGGGTTGTTCTTCGCCTCCAGGATTATCCTGGAGTAGAAGGACGACTTGGCCGAGGCTAGAGTGGAGCGGTAGATTTTGAGGAGGTCCAGCCAGATTTGTCGGTGGACCGTTAGGCCAGATTTGACCAGTTGCGTCCAGCGGCCCGCACCTGGCTCTTCAGTGAGCGGAGGTGGGTGGTGAACCAGGGGGAGGAGCGAGAGTAGGAGACAGTACGGGAGGTGATGGGGGCAAGAGTATCGAGTGTGGAGGAGAGGGTGTTGTGGAGGAGGGTGAGAGGAGAAGAGGGGTCAGTGAGGGTTGAAGGCCAGAGGGAGAGGAGTTCAGAGGACTCCAAGGCAGCGGTTAGGGATTGTGGGGGTAACTTCTTCCAGGGCGGTAGAAGATGGTGGTGGGTCTGGTGGAGGTGGGGAGGGGGGTGGAGGTGGTGAAGGAGATGAAGTGGTGGTCGGAGACGGCCTTGTCGGTGATAGTGACATCCGAGACACTGAGGCCCCGGGTGATCACCAAGTCGAGTGGGTGGCCGTGACTGTGAGTGGGGGAGTTGATGTGGAGGGAGAGGTTGAGCGAGGAGAGCAGGGAAGAGAAGTCTGAGGAGATGGA